CCTATGGGGTTCTATGGGGTCCTAGGAGTCTTATGTGGTCCTATGGGGTCCTAGGGATCTTATAGGGTCCTAGGGGTCTTATGGGGTCCTATGGGGTCCTATGGGGTCTTATAGGGTCGTATGGGGTCTTATAGTGTCCTGTAGGGTCTTATGGGGTCCTATGGGGTCCTAGGGGTCTTATAGGGTCCTATGGGGTCTTATGGGGTCCCACTGGCTCCTATGGGGTCTTATGGGGTCCTATGGGGTCCTATGGGGTCTTATGGGGTCCTATGGGGTCCTATGGGGTCTTATATGGTCCCACTGGGTCCTATGTGGTCTTATGGGTCTTAAAGGGTCCTATGGGGTCTTATAGGGTCCTATGGGGTCTTATAGGGTCCTGTAGGGTCTTATGGGGTCCTATGGGGTCCTATGTGGTCTTATAGGGTCCTATGGGGTCCTATGGGGTCTTATAGGGTCCTATGGGGTCCTAGGAGTCTTATGGGGTCCTATGGTGTCTTAAAGGGTCTTATAGGGTTCTATGGGGTCCTATGGGCTCTTATAGGGTTCCACAGCTTCCTATGGGTTCCTATGGACACAACCCCACACAATGCGACCCCACAACCCCCCCCGACCCCACAAACCCCCCCTGACGTTAGGGTTCCTTATGGGGTCCTATGGGGTCTTATGGGGTTCTGTGGGGTCTTATGGGTTCCTGTGGGGTCTTATGAGGTTCTATGGGGTCCTAGGGGTCTTATGGCGTCCTATGGGGTCTTATGGGGTCCTATGGAGTCTTATGGGGTCTAATGGGGTCCTATGGGCTCTTATGGGTCTTATAGGGTCCTATGGGGTCTTATGGGTCTTATAGGATCCTAGGGGTCTTATAGGGTTCTATGGGGTCTTATGGGGTCCTATGGGGTCTTATGGGTCTTAAAGGGTCCTATGGGGTCTTATAGGGTCCTATGGGGTCTTATGAGGTTCTATGGGGTCCTATGGGGTCTTATGGGGTCCTATGGGGTCCTATGGGGTCCTATGGTGTCTTATGGGGTCCTATGGGGTCCTAGGGATCTTATAGGGTGCTATGGGTCTTACGGGTCTTAAAGGGTCCTATGGGGTCTTATGAGGTTCTATGGGGTCTTATGGGGTCCTATGGGGTCCTAGGGGTCTTATGGGGTCCTATGGGGTCTTATAGAGTCCTATGGGGTCTTATAGGGTCTTATGGGGTCCTATGGGGTCTTATGGGGTTCTATGGGGTCCTATGAGGTCTTAGGGGTCTTAAAGGGTCCTATGGGGTCTAACGGGGTTTTGCGGGGTCTTATGGGGTCTTATGGGGTCCTAGGGGTCTTATAGGGTCCCATTGCGTCCTATGGGGTCCTATGGGGTCTTATGGGGTCCAATGAGGTCCTATGGGCTCTTATGGGATCCCACAGCTTCCTATGGGTTCCTATGGACACAACCCCACACAATGCGACCCCACAACCCCCCCCGACCCCACAAACCCCCCCCGACCCCACAACCCAACCCTGACCTTAGGGTTCCTTATGGAGTCCTATGGGGTCTTATGGGGTTCTGTGGGGTCTTATGGGTTCCTGTGGGGTCTTATGGGGTCTTATGGGGTCCTATGGGGTCTTTTGGGGTCCTATGGGGTCTTATGGGGTCCTATGGGGTCTTATGGGGTCCTATGGAGTCTTATGGGGTCTAATGTGGTCCTATGGGGTCTTATGGGTCTTAAAGGGTCCTATGGGGTCTTATGGGTCTTATAGGATCCTAGGGGTCTTATAGGGTTCTATGGGGTCTTATGGGGTTCTATGGGGTCTTATGGGGTCTTATAGGGTCCTATGGGGTCTTATAGGGTCCTAAGGGGTCTTATGTGGTTCTATGGGGTCGTATGGGGTCCTAGGGGTCTTATAGGGTCCCATTGCGTCCTATGGGGTTCTATGGGGTCCTAGGGGTCCTATGGGGTCCTAGGGGTCTTATGGGGTCCTATGGGGTCCTATGGGGTCTTATGGGGTCCTATGGGGTCTTATGGGGTCCTATGGGGTCCTATGGGGTCCTATGGGGTTCTATGGGGTCCTAGGGGTCCTATGGGGTCCTAGGGGTCTTATGGGGTCCTATGGGGTCCTATGGGGTCCTATGGGGTCCTATGGGGTCTTATGGGGTTCTATGGGGTCCTATGGGGTCTTATGGGGTCCTATGTGGTCTTATAGGGTCCTATGGGGTCTTATGGGGTCTTATGGGGTCCTATGGGGTCTTATAGGGTCCTATGGGGTCTTATGGGTCTTATAGGATCCTAGGGGTCTTATAGGGTTCTATGGGGTCTTATGGGGTCCTATGGGGTCTTATAGGGTCCTATGGGGTCTTATGGGTCTTATAGGGTCCTATGGGGTCTTATGGGGTCCTATGGGGTCCCACTGCGTCCTATGGGGTCCTATGGGTTCCTATGGACACAACCCCACACAATGCGACCCCACAACCCCCCCCGACCCCACAAACCCCCCCCGACCCCACAACCCAACCCTGACCTTTGGGTTCCTTATGGGGTCCTATGGGGTCTTATGGGGTTCTGTGGGGTCTTATGGGTTCCTGTGGGGTCTTATGGGGTCTTATGGGGTCCTATGGGGTCTTTTGGGGTCCTATGGGGTCTTATGGGGTCCTATGGGGTCTTATGAGGTTCTATGGGGTCCTAGGGGTCTTATGGGGTCCTATGGGGTCCTATGGGGTCCTATGGTGTCTTATGGGGTCCTATGGGGTCCTAGGGATCTTATAGGGTGCTATGGGTCTTACGGGTCTTAAAGGGTCCTATGGGGTTTTATGAGGTTCTATGGGGTCTTATGGGGTCCTATGGGGTCCTAGGAGTCTTATAGGGTCCTAGGGGTCTTATGGGGTCCTATGGGGTCTTATGGGGTCCTATGGAGTCTTATGGGGTCTAATGGGGTCCTATGGGGTCTTATGGGTCTTATAGGGTCCTATGGGGTCTTATGGGTCTTATAGGATCCTAGGGGTCTTATAGGGTTCTATGGGGTCTTATGGGGTTCTATGGGGTCTTATGGGGTCTTATAGGGTCCTATGGGGTCTTATAGGGTCCTATGGGGTCTTATGTGGTTCTATGGGGTCGTATGGGGTTCTAGGGGTCTTATAGGGACCTATGGGGTCTTATGGGGTTCTATGGGGTCTTATGGGGTCCTATGGGGTCCTAGGGGTCTTATGGGGTTCTATGGGGTCCTATGGGGTCCTATGGTGTCTTATGGGGTCCTATGGGGTCCTAGGGATCTTATAGGGTGCTATGGGTCTTACGGGTCTTAAAGGGTCCTATGGGGTCTTATGAGGTTCTATGGGGTCTTATGGGGTCCTATGGGGTCCTAGGGGTCTTATGGGGTTCTATGGGGTCCTATGGGGTCCTAGGAGTCTTATAGGGTCCTAGGGGTCTTATGGGGTCCTATGGGGTCTTATAGGGTCCTATGGGGTCTTATAGGGTCTTATGGGGTCCTATGGGCTCTTATGGGGTTCTATGGGGTCCTATGAGGTCTTAGGGGTCTTATAGGGTCCTATGGGGTCTTATGGGGTCCTATGGGGTCTTATGGGGTCCTATGGGGTCTTATGGGGTCTTATAGGGTCCTATGTGGTCTTATAGGGTCCTATGGGGTCCTATGGGGTCTTATCGGGTCCTATGGGGTCCTAGGGGTCTTATAGGGTCCTATGGGGTCTTATGGGATCCCACTGGCTCCTATGGGGTCCCACTGCGTCCTATGGGGTCCTATGGGTTCCTATGGACACAACCCCACACAATGCGACCCCACAACCCCCCCCGACCCCACAAACCCCCCCCGACTCCACAAACCCCCCCTGACGTTAGGGTTCCTTATGGGGTCCTATGGGGTCTTATGGGGTTCTGTGGGGTCTTATGGGTTCCTGTGGGGTCTTATGGGGTCCTATGGGGTCTTATGAGGTTCTATGGGGTCCTAGGGGTCTTATAGGGTCCTATGGGGTCCTAGGGGTCTTATGGGGTCCTATGGGGTCTTATGAGGTTCTATGGGGTCCTATGGGGTCCTATGGGGTCCTATGGGGTCCTAGGGGTCTTACGGGGTCCTATGGGGTCCTAGGGGTCTTATAGGGTCCTAGGGGTCTTATAGGGTCCTATGGGGTCTTATAGGGTCTTATGGGGTCTTATGGGGTCCTATGGGGTCCTATGGGGTCTTATGGGGTTCTATGGGGTCCTATGGGTCTTCTGGGGTCTTATAGGATCCTATGTGGTCTTATAGGGTCCTATGGGGTCCTATGGGGTCTTATGGGGTCCTATGGGGTCTTATGGGTCTTATAGGGTCCTATGGGCTCTTATGGGTCTTATAGGGTCCTATGGGGTCTTATGGGTCTTATAGGATCCTAGGGGTCTTATAGGGTTCTATGGGGTCTTATGGGGTCCTATGGTGTCTTATGGGGTCCTATGGGGTCCTAGGGATCTTATAGGGTGCTATGGGTCTTACGGGTCTTAAAGGGTCCTATGGGGTCTTATAGGGTTCTATGGGGTCTTATGGGGTTCTATGGGGTCCTATGGGGTCCTAGGAGTCTTATAGGGTCCTAGGGGTCTTATGGGGTCCTATGGGGTCCTATGGGGTCTTATGGGGTCCTATGTGGTCTTATAGGGTCCTATGGGGTCTTATGGGGTTCTATGGGGTCCTATGAGGTCTTAGGGGTCTTATAGGGTCCTATGGGGTCTTATGGGGTCCTATGGGGTCTTATGGGGTCCTATGGGGTCTTATGGGGTCTTATAGGGTCCTATGTGGTCTTATAGGGTCCTATGGGGTCCTATGGGGTCTTATCGGGTCCTATGGGGTCCTAGGGGTCTTATAGGGTCCTATGGGGTCTTATAGGGTCCCACTGGCTCCTATGGGGTCCCACTGCGTCCTATGGGGTCCTATGGGTTCCTATGGACACAACCCCACACCATGCGACCCCACAACCCCCCCCGACCCCACAAACCCCCCCCCGACCCTATAAACCCCCCCCCGGCCCCTATATCTCCGTACCGGAGCTGCAGGCCGGTGGCCCAGCAGCAGAGCTCCTTGCTGAGCAGCAGATGATTGAGGGCCACGGCGCTGACCCTATAAAGCAGCTGCCCGAACAACTGTAGGATCACCTCGGGGTCCAGGCCGTGCTCACTCACGACCCTATAAAGCTCATCCAGCCGCCCTATAAGGTCTTGCAGGGTATAGGATGCTTCCCATTCGCCCCTATGGGAGCTGCGGCTTCGGGATCCCATAGGTTTGGGAGCCCATAAGGTTTGGGATTCCAGCATGGCCGACACTGCGAAGGGGAAGAGATGGAGATCCCATATAAGACGGCGGCCCTATAAAGGGATTATGGGGTCCTATGGGGTCTTATAGGGTCCTATGGGGGCTTATGGGGTCCTATGGGGCCTTATGGGGTCCTATGGGGAGCTATGGAGGCCTATGGGGTCCTACGGGCTCCTATGAGGTCCTATGGGGTCCTATGGGGTCTTATGGGGTCTTATGGGAGCCTATGGGGTCCTATGGGGTATTATGGGGTCTTATGAGGTCCTATGAGGTCCTATGGGGTGCTATGGGGTCCTAAGGGGGCTTATGGGGTCCTATGGGGCCCTATGGGGTCCTATGGGGTCCTATGGGGTCTAATGGGGTCCTATGGGGTACTATGGGGGATTTATGAGGACCTATGGGGTCCTATGGGCTCTTATGGGGTCCTATGGGGTCTTATGGACTCCTATGGGGTCTCATGAACTCCTATCGGGCATTTATGGGGTCCTATGGGGAGCTATGGTGGCTTATGGGGTCCTAAGGGGGCTTATGGGGTCTTATGGGCTCCTATGGGGGCTTATGGGGTCCTATGGGGTCCTATGGGGTCCTATGGGGTCCTATGGGGAGCTATGGAGTCCTATGGGGTCTTATGGGGTCCTATGGGGTCTTATGGGGTCCTATGTGGCCTTATGGGGTCCTATGGGGTCTTATGGGGTCCTATGGGGTCTCATACACTGCTATGGGGCATTCATGAGGTCCTATGGGGTCCTATGGGGTCCTATGGGGTCTTATGGGGTCCTATGTGGCCTTATGGGGTCCTATGTCGTCTTATAGGGTCCTATGGGGTCTTATGGGGTGTTATGGGGTCCTATGGGGTCCTATGGGGTCCTATGGGGTACTATGGGGGCTTATGGGGTCCTATGGGCTCCTATGGGGTCCTATGGGGTCTTATGGGGTCTTATGGGGTCTTATGGGGTCCTATGGGGTCCTATGCGGTCTTATGGGCTCCTATGGGATTTTATGAGGTCATATGAGGTTTTATGGGGTCCTATGAGGCCTTATGTGGTCTTATGGGGTCCTTTGGGGTCTTATGGGGTCTTATGGGGTCCTATGGGGTCCTATGGGGTCTTATGGGGTCCTATGTGGGCTTATAGGGTCCTATGGGGGCTTATGGACTCCTATGGGGTCCTATGGGGAGCTATGGGGTCCTATGGGGTCCTATGGGGAGCTATGGGGTCCTATGGGGTACTATGGGGGATTTATGAGGACCTATGGGGTCCTATGGGGTCTTATGGGGTCTTATGGGAAGCTGTGGGGTCCTATGGTGTCCTATGGGGTCTTATGGGGGCTTATGGGGTCCTATGGGGCCTTATGGGGTCCTATGGGGAGCTATGGAGGCCTATGGGGTCCTACGGGCTCCTATGAGGTCCTATGGGGTCCTATGGGGTCTTATGGGGTCTTATGGGAGCCTACGGGGTCCTATGGGGTATTATGGGGTCTTATGAGGTCCTATGAGGTCCTATGGGGTCCTATGGGGTCCTAAGGGGGCTTATGGGGTCCTATGGGGTCCTATGGGGAGCTATGGGGTCGTATGGGGTCTTACGGGGGCTTATGGGGTCCTATGGGGTCTTATGGGGTCCTATGGGGTCTCATACACTGCTATGGGGCATTCATGAGGTCCTATGGGGTCCTATGGGGTCCTATGGGGTCTTATGGGGTCCTATGGGGTCTTATGGGGTCCTATGGGGTCTTACGGACTCCTCTGGGGTCCTATGGGGGATTTATGAGCTCCTATGGGGGCCTATGGGGTCCTATGGGGACTTATGGACTCCTATGGGGTCCTATGGGGAGCTATGGGGTCCTATGGGGGCCTAAGGGGTCCTATGGGGTCTTATGGGGTCTTATGGGGTCTTATGGGGTCCTATGGGGTCTCATAGATTCCTATGCGGCATTTATAGGGTCCTATGGGGTCTTATGGGGTCTTACAGGGTCTTATGGGGTCTTATCGGGTCCTATGGGGTCCTATGGGGTCTTATGGGGTCTTATGGGATCCTATGGGGGCCTATGGGGACTTATGGGGTCTTATGGGGTCCTATGGTGGCTTATGGGGTCCTAAGGGGGCTTATGGGGTCCTATGGGGTCTTATGGGGCATTTATGGGTCCTATGGGGGCTCATGGGGTCCTATGGGGTCTTATGGCGTGTTATGGGGTCTCATAGAATCCTATGGGGCATTTATGAGTTCCTATGGGAGCCTATGGGGTCCTGTGGGGTCTTATGGGGTCTTATGGGGTCCTATGGGGTCTTATGGGGTCTTATGGGGTCCTATCGGGTCCTATGGGGTCTTTTGGGATCCTATGGGGTCTTATGGGGTCTTATGGACTCCTATGGGGTCCTATGCGTGCCTATGGGGTCCTATGGGGTCTTAACGGGTCCTATGGGGTCCTATGTGGCCTTATGGGGTCCTATGGCGTCTTATGGGGTCCTATGGGGTCCTTATGGGGTCCTGTGGGGTCTTATGGGGTCCTATGGGGCATTTATGGAGCCCTATGGGGTCTTATGGGCTTCTATGGGGTCCTATCGGGTCCTATGGGCTCCTATGGGCTCCTATGGAGTCAAATGGGGTCCTATGGGGTCCTATGGGGTATTATGGGGTCCTATGGGGAGCTATGGGGTCTTATGGGGTCTTATGGGGTCTTATGGGATCCTATGGGGGCTTATGGACTCCTATGGAGTCCTATGGGAAGCTATGGGGTCCTATGGGGTCTTAAGGGGTCCTATGGGGGCTTATAGGGTCCTATGGGGTCTCATGGAGTCCTATGGGGCATTTATGGGGTCCTATGGGGAGCTATGGGGTCCTATGGGGTCCTATGGGGAGCTATGGGGTCATACGGGGTCTTATGGGGGCTTATGGGGTCCTATGGGGAGCTATGGGGTCCTATGGGGTCCTATAGGGTTCTATGGAGTCCTATGGGGTCCTATGAGCTCCTATGGGGTCTTATGGGGCCCTATAGGGGATTTATGGGATCCTATGGGGGCTTATGGACTCCTATGGGGTCCTATGGGGTCTAATGGGGTCCTATGGGGTACTATGGGGGATTTATGAGGACCTATGGGTTCCTATGGGGTCTTATGGGGTCTTATGGGAAGCTATGGGGTCCTATGGGGTCCTATGGGGCATTATGGGGTCTTATGGGGGCTTATAGGGTCCTATGGGGTCTCATGGAGTCCTATGGGGCATTTATGGGGTCCTATGGGAGGCTATGGAGACCTATGGGGTCTTATGGAGCATTTATCGGGTCCTATGGGGTCTTATGGGGTCTTACGGGGTCCCTATGGGGTCCTATGGGGTCCTATAAGGCATTTATGAGGACCTATGGGGTCTTATGGGGTCCTACGGGGTGTTATGGGGCCCTATTGGGTCCTATGGGGTCTTATGGGGTCCTATGGGATCCTATGGGGTCCTATGGCGTCCTGTGGGGTTCTATGGGGGCCTATGGGGTCCCATGGGCTTCTATGGGGTCTTATGAGGTCCTATGAGGTCCTATGGGGTCCTATGGGGTCCTAATGGGGCTTATGGGGTCCTATGGGGTCCTATGGGGTCCTATGGGGTCCTATGGGGGATTTATGAGGACCTATGGGGTCCTATGGGGCATTATGGGGTCTTATGGGGGCTTATAGGGTCCTATGGGGTCTCATGGAGTCCTATGGGGTCTTATGGGGTCCTATGGGGTCTCATACACTGCTATGGGGCATTCATGAGGTCCTATGGGGTCCTATCGGGTCCTATGGGGTCTTATGGGGTCCTATGTGGCCTTATGGGGTCCTATGTCGTCTTATAGGGTCCTATGGGGGCTTATGGGGTCCTATGGGCTCCTATGGGGTCCTATGGGGTCTTATGGGGTCTTATGGGGTCTTATGGGGTCCTATGGGGTCTTATGGGCTTCTATGGGGTCCTATCGGGACCTATGGGCTCCTATGGGGTCCTATGGAGTCAAATGGGGGCCTATGGGGTCCTATGCGGTCCTATGGGGGCCTATGGGGTCCTAAGGGGGCTTATGGGGTCTGATGGGGTCTTATGGGGTCCTATGGGGTCTTATGGGGTCTTATGACGTCCTATGGGGTCTTATGGGGTCCTATGGGGTCTTATGGACTCCTATGGGATTCTATGGAGAGCTATGGGGTCCTATGGAGAGCTATGGGGTCCTATGGGGTCCTATGGGGTGTCATAGGGTCCTATGGGGTCCCATGGGGTCTTATGGGGTCCTATGGGGAATTTATGGGGTCATATGGGACATTTATGGGGACTTAAGGGGTCTTATGGGGTCCTATGGGGTCTTAAGGGGTCCTATGGATTCTTATTGAGTGCAATGAGCTCTTATGGCGTCCTATAGGCTCTCATACGGTCCAATGGGGTCTTATGGGGTCCTATGGGGCCTTATGGGGTCCTATGGGGTCTTATGGGCTCTTATGGGGTCCTAAGGGGCCCTATGGGGTCTTATGGGGTCTGATGGGGTCCTATGGGGTCCTATGGGGTCTGATGGGGTCCTATGGGGTCCTATAGGGTCCTATGGGGTCTTATGGGGTCTCATAGGGTCCAATGGGGTCCTATGAGGTCCTATGGGGTCTTATGGGGTCACATGGGGCATTTATGGGGACTTATGGGGTCTTATAGGGTCTTACGGGATCCTATGGGGTGTTATGGGCTCCTATGGGGTCTTATGGGGTCTTATGAGGTCCTATGGGGAGCTATGGGGTCCTATGGCGGCTTATGGACTCCTATGGAACCCTATGGAGGCTTATGGGGTCCTATGGGGTCCTATGGGGTCCTATGGGGTCCTATGGGGGCTTAAGAGGTCCTATGGGGTCTTATGGCGTCCTATGGGGGCCTATGGGGTCCAATGTGGTCCTATGGGGTCTGATGGGGTCCTATGGGGTCTTATGGGGTCCTATGGGTTCCTATGGGGTCTTATGGGGTCCTATGGGGTCCTGTGGGGTCTTATGGGGTCTTATGGGGTCCTATGGGATCCTATGGGGTCCTATGTGGTCTTATGGGGTCCTATGGAGTCTGATAGGGTCCTATGGGGTCCTTATGGGTCCTATGGGGTGTTATGGGCTCCTATGTGGTCCTATGGGGTCCTATGGGGTGCTATGGGGTCTTATGGAGTCCTATGGGGTCCTATGGGTTCCTATGGGGTCTTATGGGATCCTATGGGGTCCTATGGGGTCCTATTGGGTCCTATGGAGTCCTATGGGGTCCTATGGGATTCTATGGGGGCCTATGGAGCTCTATGGGGTTTAATGGGGTCCTATGGGGTCCTATGGGGTCTTCTGGAGTCCTACGGGGTGCTATGGGTTCTATGGGGTCTTATGGGGTCCTATGGGGGCTTATGGAGTCATATGGAGCCCTGTGGGGTCTTATGGGGTCCTATGGGTTCTATGTTGTCCTATGGGGGCTTATGGAGTCCTATGGAGCACTATGAGGTCTTATGGGCTTCTATGGGGTCCTATGGGGTCTTATGGGGTCTTATGGGGTCCTATGGGGTCCTATGGGATTCTATGGGTCCTATGGGGCCCTATGGGGTCCTATGGGGTCTTATGAGGTCCAATGTGGTCCTATGGGGTCTGATGGGGTTTTATGGGGTGCTATGGGGTCCTATGGGGTCCTATGGGGTCTTATGGGGTCCTATGGGGTCCTATGGGGTCCTATGGGTTCTATGGGGTCTTATGGGCTCGTATGGGGTCCTATGGGGTCCTATGGGGTCTTATGTGGTCTTATGGGGTCCTATGTGGTCCTATGGGGTTTTATGGGTCCTATGGGGTCCTATGTGCTCTTATGGGGTCCTATGGGGTGCTATGGGCTCCTATGGGGTTTTATGGGATTCTATGGGTCCTATGGGGTCCTATGGGGTCCTATGGGGTCCTATGGGGTCCTATGGGGTTTTATGGGTTCCTATGGGGTTTTATGCGCTCCTATGGGTCCACGCGGTCTTATGGGGTCTTATGGGGTTCTACGTGGTCCTATGGGGTGTGATGGGGTGTCATAGGGTCCTATGGGGTCTTATGGGGTGCTATGGGGTCTTATGGTATTCTATGGGTCCTATGGGATCCTATGGGGTCCTATGTGGTCTTATGGGGTCCTATGGGGTCTGATCGGTTCCTATGGGGTCCTATGGGGTCCTATGGGGTGCTATGGGGTCTTATGGAGTCCTATGGGGTCCTATGGGTTCCTATGGGGTCTCATGGGATCCTATGGGGTCCTATGGGGTTCTATGGGGTCCTATGGAGTCCTATGGGGTCCTATGGGATTCTATGGTGGCCTATGGAGCTCTATGGGGTTTAATGGGGTCCTATGGGGTCCTATGGGGTCTTCTGGAGTCGTATGGGGTGCTATGGGGTCCTATGGGTTCTATGGGGTCTTATGGGGCCCTATGGGGTCTTATGGGCTCGTATGGGGATTTATGGGATTCTTTGGGTCCTATGGGCTCCTATGGGGTTCTATGGGGTCCTATGAGGTCTTATGGGGTCCTATGGGGTCTTATGGGGTCTTATGGGTTCTATGGGGTCTTATGGGGCCCTATGGGGTCTTATGGGCTCGTATGGGGATTTATGGGATTCTTTGGGTCCTATGGGCTCCTATGGGGTTCTATGGGGTCCTATGAGGTCTTATGGGGTCCTATGGGGTCTTATGGGGTCTTATGGGCTCCTATGGGGATTTATGCGATTCTATGGGTCCTATGAGGTCCTATGGGTTCTTATGGCGTCTCATAGGGTCCTATGGCGTCTTATGGGGTCCTATGGGGTGTGATGGGGTCCTATGGGGTCCTATGGGGTTTTATGGGATTCTATGGGTCGTATGGGGTGCTATGGGGTCCTATGGGGTTTTACAGGGTCCTATGGGGTCTTATGGGGTCCAATGTGGTCCTATGGGGTCTGATGGGTTTTATGTGGTCCTATGGAGTTCTATGGGGTCCTATGGGGTCCATGTGGTCCCATGTGGTCCTATGGGGGCCTATGGGGTCTTATGGGCTCCTATGGGGTCTCATAGGGTCCTATGGGGTCTTATGGGGTCTTAAGAAGTCCTATGGGGTCTCACAGGGTCCTATGAGGTCCTATGGGGTCTTATGGGGTCCTATGGGGTCTGATGGGGTTTTATGGGGTCCTATGGGCTCCTATGGGGTTCTATGGGTCCTATGGGGTTTTCTGGGATTCTATGGGTCCTATGGGGTCCTATGGGGTCTTATGGGTTCTATGGGGTGTTATGGGCTCCTATGGGGTCTTATGGGATTCTATGGGTCCTATGGGGTCCTATGGGCTGCTGTGGGGTCCTATGGGGTCTTATGGGGTCCTATGGGGTGTTATGGGGTCTTATGGGGTCCTATGAGGTCCTATGGGGTCCTATGGGTTCCTATGGGTTCTATGGGGTTCTATGGGGTGTTATAGGGTCTTATGGGGTCCTATGAGGTCCTATGGGGTCCTATGGGGTCTGATGGGGTGTGATGGGGTCCTATGGGGTCGTATGGGATTGTATGGGTCCTATGGGGTCCTATGGGGTCCTATGGGGGCCTATGGGGTCCTATGGGGGCCTATGGGGTCCTATGGGGTTTTATGGGCTCCTATCGGTGCTATAGGTCCTATGGGGTTTTCTGGGATTCTATGAGTCCTATGGGGTCCTATGGGGTCTTATGGGTCCTATGGGGTCCTATGGGGTCTTATGGGGAGCTATGGGGTCCTATGGCGGCTTATGGACTCCTATGAATCCCTATGGAGTCCTATGGGGTCCTATGGGGTCCAATGGGGTCTTATGGGGTCCTATGTGGTTCTATGGGGTTTTGTGGGCTCCTATGGGCCCCTATGCGGTTTAATGGGGTCCCAGGCTCCCCCCTGCGCTCCGTACCGACCATGGGCTGCAGCTGGGTCCCCGCGGCGGCGCAGAGCTGCGCGTAGATGCTGGAGCACAGGGCGCCCAGCAGCTCCCGGTACTCGGCCAGGTCGAAGTGCCGCAGGCTCTGCGCCTTCTGCTGCGCGCTGCACTGCGCCGTGAAGCCCTGCACAGCACCGCCATCAGGATGCATAGGGACACATAGGGACCCATAGGGACCCATAGGGACCCATAGGGACCCATGGGAGCCCATAGGGACCCATAGGGACCCATAGGGACCCATAGGAACCCAGAGGGACCCATAGGGACCCATAGGAACCCATAGGACCCCAAAGGAACCCATAAAACCCCATAGGAGCCCATAGGACCCATAGGAACCCATAGGAGCCCATAGAGACCCATAGGGACCCATAGGACCCATAGGGACCCATGGGAACCCATAGGAACCCATAGGGACCCATAGGATCCTATAAGATCCCATCAGACCCCATAAGACCCCATACGACCCCAAAGGACCCCATAAGACCCCATAACACCCCATAGGACCCCATAACACCCCATAGGAACCCATAGGAGCCCATAGGAGCCCATAAGACCCCACAGGACCCATAGGAACCCATATGAGCCCATAGAACCCCATAGAATCCCATAAGAACCCATACGACCCCATAAGACCCCATAAGACCCCATAACATCCCATAGGAACCCATACAACCCATAGGAGCCCATAGGGACCCATAGGAACCCATAGGGACCCATAGGACCCATAAGACCCCATAGGAGCCCATAGGAACCCATAGGACCCATAGGGACCCATAGGACCCATAGGGACCCATAGGACCCATAGGGACCCATAGGAACCCATAGCAACCCATAGGAACCCAAAGAAACCCATAAGACCCCATAGGACCCATAGGAACCCATAGGAACCCATACGAGCCCATAGGAACCCATAAGAGCCCATAGGAAACCACAAAACCCCATAGGAGCCCATAAGAGCCCATAGGAACCCATAGGAACCCATAGGGACCCATAGAGACCCATAGGAGCCCATAGGGACCCATAGGAACCCATAGGACCCATAGGAACCCATAGGAACCCATAGGACCCCATAGGACCCCATAGGAACCCATAAAACCCCATAGGAGCCCATAGGACCCATAGGAACGCATAGGGACCCATAGGGACCCATAGGGACCCATAGGACCCATAGGGACCCATAGGACCCATAGGAGCCCATAGGGACCCATAGGGACCCATAGGGATCCATAGGAGCCCATAGAAACCCATAGGGACCCATAGGAACCCATAGGACCCATACGGACCCATAAGACCCCATAGGAGCCCATAGGAACCCATAGGAGCCCATAAGACCCCACAGGACCCATAGGAACCCATACGAGCCCATAGAACCCCATAGAATCCCATAAGAACCCATACGACCCCATAAGACCCCATAAGACCCCATAACATCCCATAGGAACCCATAGAACCAATAGGAACCCATAGGAACCCATAAGACCCCATAGGACCCCATAGGACCCACAGGACCCATAAGACCACACAAAACCCAATAGGAACCCATAGGAACGCATAGTAACCCATAGGGACCCATAGGAACCCATAGAGACCCATAGGAACCCATAGAAACTCATAGGATCCCATAGAGACCCATAGGAACCCATAGGAACCCATAAAACCCCATAGGACCCATAGCAACCCATAGGAACCCATAGCACCCTATAAAATCCCATCAGACCCCATAAGACTCCATAACAGCCCATAGGAGCCCATAGCACCCCATAGGACCCATAGGAACCCATACGATCCCATAGAACCCATAGGAACCCCTAACACCCCATAGGAACCCATAGCAACCCATAAGACCCCATAGAACCCATAGGAACCCATAGGAACCCACAGGAACCCATAAGACCCCATGGGACCCATAAGAACCCATAGGGACCCATAGGAACCCATAGGGACCCATAGGGACCCATAGGGACCCATAGGGACCCATAGGGACCCATAGGGACCCACAGGACCCATAGGGACCCATAGGGACCCATAGGAGCCCATAGGGACCCATAGGAACCCATAGGACCCATAGGAACCCATAGGAACCCATAGGGACCCATAGGAGCCCATAGGGACCCATGGGAGCCCATAGGGGCCCATAGGGGCCCATACCAGCCCATAAAACCCCATAAGAACCCATACAACCCCATAAGACCCCATAGCATCCCATAGGAACCCATAGGAGCCCATAGGGACCCATGGGAACCCATAGGGACCCATAGGACCCCATAGGAACACATAGGGACCCATAGGAACCCATAAGACCCCATGGGACCCATAGGAACCCATAGGGACCCCATAAGACCCCATAGGACCCCATAACACCCCATAGTAACCTATAGGAACCCATAGGAACCCATAAGATCCCATAAAGCCCATAGGACCCATTAGGAACCCATAGGAGCCCATAAAACCCCATAGGGACCCACAGCAACCCATAAGACCCCATAGGACCCCATAGGAGCCCATAGGAACCCATGAGAACCCACAAGAACCCAAAGCAACCCATAAGACCCCATAAGAGCCCATAGGAGCCCATAGGGACCCATAGGACCCCATAAGACCCCATAGGAACCCATAGCAACCCACAACATCCCATACAACCCCATAGGAACCCATAGGAACCCATAGGAACCCATAGGGACCCATAGGGACCCATAGGGACCCACAGGACCCCATAAGACCCCATAGGAACCCATAACATCCCATAAGATCCCATAGGAACCCATAGAAACCCATAAGACCCCATAGGACCCATAGGAACCCATAGGAACCCATAGGAACCCATAGGACCCCCATAAGACCCCATAAGACCCCATAGAACCCCATAAGCCGCCATAGAACCCCATAGGCCCCCATAGGCCCTTATTACCCCCCATAATCCCCCATAAGCCCGCACAGGACCCCATAGGATCCCATAAGGCCCCCATAGGACCCCATAAAACCCCATAGCACCCCATAGGCCCCCATAGGACCCCATAGGACCCCATAGGACCCCATAAGACCCCATAGGACCCCATAGAAGCCCATTAGACCCCATAAATCCCCCATGAGACCCCATAAGACCCCATAGCACCCCATAGGCTCCCATAGAACCCAATAGGACCCCATAGCACCCCATAGCACCCCATAGGCTCCCATAGCACCCCATTTCACCCCATAGAACTCCATAGGACCCCATATAACCCCATAGCACCCCATAATCCCCCATAGAACCCCATAGCACCCCATAGGACCCCATAGGACCCCATAGGACCCCATAAGCCCCCATAGGACCCCATAGGACGCCATAGGACCCCATAAGACCCCATAGGACCCCATAAGACCCCATAAGACCCCATAAGACCCCATAGGACCCCATAGGACCCCATAGGACCCCATAAGACCCCATAAGACCCCATAAGCCCCCATAGGACCCCATAAGACCCCATAGGACCCCATAGGACCCCATAAGACCCCATAGGACCCCATAGGACCCCATAGGACCTCATAAGACCCCATAGAACCCCATAAGACCCCATAGGACCCCATAGGACCCCATAAGACCCCATAGGACCCCATAGGACCCCATAGCACCCCATAGAACCCCATAGGACCCCATAATCCTTCACAGAACCCCATAAGACCCCATAAGACCCCATAGGACCGCATAGGACCCCCAAGCTCATTAACCGCCCCCCCCAATTAGCAGCACTTTTAATTGACCCCATAAGCACCGATAGGACCCCACAGGACCCCACAGGACCCCATAAGGCCCCCATAGCACCCGATAGGACCCCATAGGACCCCATAATCGTTCCATAGGACCCCATAAAACCCCATAAGACCCCATAGGACCCCATAGGATCCCATAGGATCCTATAGGACCTCATAGGACCCCATAGGATCCCATAGAACCCTATAGCACCCCACAGAACCGCGTAGGACCCCATAAGCCCCCATAGGACCCCATAGGACCCCATAGCAACCCATAAGCCCCCATAGCACCCCACAGCACCCCATAATCCCCCATAAGCCCCCATAAGACCCCATAGGACCCCATAGGACCCCATAGCACCCCATAGCACCCCATAATCCCCCATAAGCCCCCATAGGACCGCATAGGACCCCATAGAACCCCATAGGACCCCATAGGCCCCCATAAGACCCCATAGGACCCCATAAATCCCCCATAGGACCCCATAGGACCCCATAAGCCCCCATAGAACCCCATAGGACCCCATAGAACCCCATAGCACCAGATATCACCCCATAGCACCCCATAATCCCCCATAAGACCCCATAGAACCCCATAGGACCCCATAAATCCCCCATGAGACCCCATAGGACCCCATAGGACCCCACAGGACCCCACAGGACCCCATAGCACCCCATAGGCTCCCATAGAACCCAATAGGACCCCATAATCCCCCATAGAACCCCATAGGCCCCCATAGGCCCCCATAGGACCCCATAGGACCCCATAGCTCCCCCATAGGGCCCCCACAGAACCCCATAGGACCCCATAAGACCCCATAAGCCCCCATAGGCCCCCATAAGCCCCCACAGGACTCCATAAGACCCCATAGGACACCATAGGACCTCATAAGACCCCATAGAACCCCATAGAACCCCATAAATCCCCCATAAGCCCCCATAGGACCCCATAGAACCCCATAGGCCCCCATTATCCCCCATAAGACCCCATAGGACCCCATAAAACCCCATAAGACCCCATAGGCCCCCATAGGATCCCATAGCACCCCATAGAACCCCATAGCACCCCATAATCCCCCATAAGACCCCATAGAACCCCATAAGACCCCATAAATCCCCCATGAGACCCCATAGGACCCCATAAGCCCCCATAGAACCCCATAGGCCCGCATTACCCCCCATAATCCCCCATAAGCCCCCATAGGATCCCTTAGGCCCCCATAGAGCCCCATAGGACCCCATAATCCCCCATAGGACCCCATAGGACCCCATAGGATCCCACAGGACCCCATAGGACCCCATGAATCCCCCATAGGACCCCATAGGACCCCATAAGACCCCATAAGCCCCCATAGGCCCCCATAAGGCGCCACAGGACTCTATAAGACCCCATAGGACCCCACAGGACCCCATAGGACCTCATAAGACCCCATAGGAAACCACAGGAACCCATAGGAGCCCATAAAACCCCATAGGGACCATAGGAACCCATAGGACCCCATAGGAACCCATAAAACCCCATAGAAGCCCATAGGACCCATAGGAACCCATAGGGACCCATAGAGACCCATAGGGACCCATAGGGACCCATAGGGACCCATAGGACCCATAGGGACCCATACGGACCCATAGGGACCCATAGGAGCCCATAGGGACCCATAGGAACCCATAGGAACCCATAAAACTCCATAACGCCCATACGACCCCATAAGACCCCATAGCATCCCATAGGAACCCCATAGGAACCCATAGGAACCCATAGCACCCTATAAGATCCCATCAGACCCCATAAGACCCCATAGGACCCCATAAGACCCCATAACACCCCATAGGACCCCATAGGAACCCATAGGAGCCCATAGGAACCCATAGCACCCCATAGGAACCCATAGCACCCCATAGGAACCCATAGGATCCCATAGAACCCCATAAGTCCCCATAGAACCCCATAAGGCCCCATAGGACCACATAGAAGCCCATTAGACCCCATAAATCACCTATAGGACCCCATAAGACCCCATAAGGCCCCGATAGCACCCCATAGGACCCCATAAATCCCCCATAAGACCACAGAGAACACCATAGGACCCCATAAGCCCCCATAGGACCCCATAGGACCCCATAGGACCCCATAGGACCCCATAGGACCCCATAAGCCCCCACAGAACCCCATAGGACCCCATAAGCCCCCATAGGCCCCCATTACCCCCCATAATCCCCCATAAGCCCCCATAGGATCCCATAAGGCCCCATAGGACCCCATAAGACCCCATAGGACCCCATAGAACCCCATAGAACCCCATAAGCCCCCATAGAACCCCATAGGCCCCCATAGGCCCCCATTACCCCCCATAATCCCCCATAAGCCCCCATAGGACCCCATAGGATCCCATAGGGGCCCCATAGCACCCCATAGGAACCCATAAATCCCCCATAGGCCCCCATAGGACCCCGAAGCTCATTAACCCCCCCCCCCCAATTAGCGGCGCTGTTAATTGACCCCATAAGCACCTATAGGACCCCATAGGACCCCATAGAACCCCATAAGACACCATAGGTCCCCATAGGACTCCATAGACCCTCATAATACCCCCTAGGACCCCATATGACCCCATAAATCCCCCATAGGACCCCATAGGACCCCATAAGACGCCATAAGCCGCCATAGGACCCCATAGGACCCCATAGGAGCCCATAAGACCCCATAGGACCCCATAGAACCCCATAGGACCCCATAAGCCCCCATAGAACCCCATAGAAGCCCACAAGACCCCATAAATCCCCCATGAGACCCCCATAGGACCCCATAGAACCCCATAGGACCCCATAAGCCCCCATAGAACCCCATAAGACCCCATAGGCCCCCATTACCCCCCATAAGCCCCCATAGGATCCCATAGGACCCCATAAGACCCCATAGGCCCCCATAGGACCCCATAGCACCCCATAGAACCCCATAGCACCCCATAGGACCCCATAGAACTCCATAGGACCCCATAGGATCCCATAGAACCCCATAGCACCCCATAATCCCCCATAAGACCGCATAGAACCCCATAAGACCCCATAGGACCCCATAGGACCCCATAAATCCCCCATAGAACCCCATAGGCCCCCATTACCGCCCGTAATCCCCCATAAGCCCCCATAGGACCCCATAAGACCCCGTAAGATCCTATAAGACCCCCACAGGACCCCATAAGACCCCATAGGACCCCATAAATCCCCCATAAGACCCCATAATCCCCCATAGGACCCCATAGGACCCCACAGGAACCCATAGGACCCCATAGCACCCCATAGAACCCCATAGGCCCCCATTACCCCCCAAAGCACCCCATAGGACCCCACAGGATCCCTTAAGCCCCCATAGGCCCCCATAGGACCCCGAAGCTCATTAACCCCCTTCCCCCCAATTAGCGGCGCTGTTAATTGACCCCATAAGACACCATAGGTCCCCATAGGACCCCATAGACCCTCATAATACCCCCTAGGACCCCATAAGACCCCATAAATCCCCCATAAGACCCCATAGGACCCCATAAGACGCCATAAGCCGCCATAGGACCCCATAGGAGCCCATAAGACCCCATAGGACCCCACAGAACCCCATAGAACCCCATAGGACCCCATAAGTCCCCATAATCCCCCATAGGACCCCATAAGTCCCCATAATCCCCCACAGGACCCCATAAGACCCCATAGGCCCCCACAGGACCCCATAGAACCCCATAGGCCCCCATAGGCCCCCATTACCCCCCGTAATCCCCCATAAACCCCCATAGGACCCCATAGGACCCCATAGCACCCCATAGAACCCCATAGGACCCCATAAGACCCCATAATCCCCCATAGGACCCCATAAGACCCTATAGGACCCCATAAGACCCCATTAGACCCCTCAAATTCCCCCTATAGGACCCCATAGGACCCCATAAGACCCCATAGGACCCCATAGAACCCCGTAGAACCCCATAGGACCCCATAGGACCCCATAAGACCCCATAGCATCCTATAAGACCCCCACAGGACCCCATAAGCCCCCATAGGACCCCATAGGCCCCCATTACCCCCCTATAATCCCCCATAAGCCCCCATAGGACCCCATAAATCCCCCATGAGACCCCATAGGACCCCATAAGCCCCCATAGGACCCCATAGCACCCCATAGAACCCCACAGCACCCCATAGGACCCCATAGAACTCCATAGGACCCCCATAGGATCCCATAGAACCCCATAGGCCCCCATTATCCCCCATAAGACCCCATAGGACCCCATAGGACCCCATAGCACCCCATAGAACCCCATAGAACCCCACAGGACCCCATAGGACCCGATAAGACCCCATAAATCCCCCATAAGCCCCCATAAGACCCCATAGGATCCCACAGAACCCCATAGAACCCCATAAGACCCCACAGGACTCCATAAGACCCCATAGGACCCCATAGGACCCCATAAGACCCCATAGGCCCCCATAGGCCCCCACAGGACCCCATAAGAGCCCATAGGATCCCATAGAACCCCATAGGACCCAGTAGGACCCCGTAAGCCCCCATAAGCCCCCATAGGACCCCATAGGACCCCATAATCCCCCATAGAACCCCATAGGACCCCATAGAACCCCATAGCACCCCATAGAACCCCATAGAACCCCATAGGACCCCATAGGACACCATAAATCCCCATAGAACCCCATAAGACCCCATAGGACCCCATAAGACCCCATAATCCCCCATATGCCCCCATAGGACCCCATAGGACCCCACAGGACCCCATAGGACCCCACAGGACCCCATCGCACCCCATAGGCCCCCATAGCACCCCATAGAACCCCATAAGCCCCCATAGGCCCCCATAGAACCCCATAAGCACCCATAGGACCCCACAGGAACCCATAGGACCCCACAGCACCCCATAGAACCCCATAGAACGCCATAGGACCCCATAGGACCGCATAGGACCCCATAAGACCCCATAAGACCCCATAGGATCCCATACGACCCCATAGGACCCCATAGGACCCCAGAGCACCCAATATCACCCCATAGCACCCCATAATCCCCCATAAGCCCCCATAGGACCCCATAAGCCCCCATAGGCTCCCATAGAACCCCATAAGACCCCATAGGACCCCATAGAACCCCATAGAACCCCATAGGACCCCATAGAACCCCATAAGCTCGTATAGGCCCCCTTAAGACCCCACAGGACCGCATAGGACCCCATAGGCCCCCATAAATCCCCCATAGGACCCCATAAATCCCCTATAGAACCCCATAGGACCCCATAAGACCCCATAGGATCCCACAGAACCCCATAAGCCCCCATAGAACCCCATAGAACCCCATAGGCCCCCATTACCCCCCATAATCCCCCATAAGCCCCCATAGGACCCCATAAGCCCCCATAGGACCCCATAAGGCCCGATAGGACCCCATAGGACCCCATAAGACCCCATAGGCCCCCATTACCCCCCATAATCCCCCATAAGCCCCCATAGGATCCCATAAGACCCCATAGGACCCCATAAATCCCCCATAGAACCCCATAGGCCCCCATAGGCCCCCATAGGACCCCATAGGACCCCATAAGACCCCATAGAACCCCATAGAACCCCATAAATCCCCCATAAGCCCCCATAGGACCCCATAGAACCCCATAGGCCCCCATTATCCCCCATAAGACCCCATAGGACCCCATAGCACCCCATAGGACCTCATAGCACCCCATAGGACCCCATAGGACCCCATAGGACCTCATAGGACCCCATAGGACCCTATAGAACTCCATAGGACCCCATAGGACCCCACAGGCCCCCATAAGACCCCATAGAACCCCATAAGACCCCATAAGACCCCATAGCACCCCATAATCCCCCATAAGACCGCATAGAACCCCATAAGACCCCATAGAACCCCATAGAACCCCATAGAACCCCATAGGACCCCATAGAACCCCATAGAACCCCATAGGACCCCATAGGCCCCCACAGGCCCCAATAGAACCCCATAAGCCCCCATAGGCCCCCATGGAACCCCATAAGCACCCATAGGACCCCATAGGATCCCATAGAACCCCATAGAACGCCATAGGACCCCATAGGACCCCATAGGATCCCATAGGATCCCATAGAACCCCATAGGACGCCATAGGACCCCATAGGATCCCATAGAACCCCATAGGACCCCATAGGACCCCATAGGACCCCGTAGGACCCCATAGAACCCCATAGAACCCCATTACCCCCCATAATCCCCCATAAGCCCCCATAAGCCCCCATAGGATCCCATAAGGCCCCATAGGCCCCCATAGGACCCCATAGGACCCGATAAGACCCCATAATCCCCCACAGGACCCCATAAGACCCCATAGGACCCCATAAATCCCCCATAATCCCCCATAAGCCCCCATAGGATCCCATAGGCCCCCATAGAGCCCCATAGGACCCCATAATCCCCCATAGGACCCCATAGGATCCCACAGGACCCCATAGGACCCCATAGGCCCCCATTACCCCCCATAATCCCCCATTACCCCCCATAAGCCCCCATAGGATCCCATAAGGCCCCATAGGCCCCCATAGGCCCCCATTACCCCCCATAGTCCCCCATAAGCCCCCATAGGATCCCATAAGGCCCCATAGGCCCCCATAGGCCCCCATTACCCCCCATAATCCCCCATAGGACCCCATAAGTCCCCATAATCCCCCACAGGACCCCATAAGACCCCATAGGACCCCATAAGGCCCCATAGGCCCCCATAGGCCCCCATTACCCCCCATAATCCCCCATAGGACCCCATAGGACCCCATAATCCCCCACAGGACCCCATAAGACCCCATAGGACCCCATAGAACCCCATAAGCCCCCATAGGCCCCCATTACCCCCCATAATCCCCCATAAGCCCCCATAAGCCCCCATAGGATCCCATAAGGCCCCATAGGCCCCCATAGGCCCCCATAGAACCCCATAGGCCCCCATAGGCTCCCACAGAACCCCGTAGCTCATTAACCCCCCAATTAGCAGCGCCGTTAATGACCGGGTCCCCGCTGTATTGCTTGAGGCAGTGCAGCAGGCGCAGGCTGTTGGCCAGCCAGAAGGACGGCAGCTCCACGCCACGGCTCTCCTGCAACACACGGGTGCCATAGGGTGCATAGGGTGCTATGGGTGCTATGGGGGATATGGGTGCTATGGGGGATATGGGGGTATATGGGGGCTATGGGGTGCTATAGAGTACTATGGGGGATATGGGGTGCTATGGGGGGATATGGGGGGCTATGGGGCGCCATAGGGGGCTATGGGGTGCTGTGGGTGCTATAGGGTGCTATGGGTGCTATGGGTGCTATGGGGGATATGGGGTTTCTATGGGGTCCTATGGGGGGATATGGCTGCTATGGGGGGATATAGGGGACTATGGGGCGCTATGGGGGGATATGGGGCACTATGGGGTGCTGTGGGTGCTATGGGGTTTCTATGGGGTCCTATGGGGTTTCTATGGGGTCCTATGGGAACCTATGGGGTCCTATGGGGTCCTATGGGATCCTATGGGGTCCTATTGGGTCCTATGGGGTCCTATGGGGTCCTATGGGGTCCTATGGGGTCCTAAGGGGTCCTATGGGGTCCTATGGGGTCCTATGGGGTCCTATGGGGTTCTATGGCGTTTCTATGGGGTCCTATGGGATCCTATGGGGTCCTATGGGGTCCTATGGGGTTCTATGGGATCCTATGGGGTTCTATGGGATCGTATGGGGTTCTATGGGTTCTATGGGGTCCTATGGGGTTCTATGGGGTCCTATGTGATCCTATGGGGTTCTATGGGGTCCTATGGGGTCCTATGGGGTCCTATGGGATCCTATGGGTCCTATGGGGTCCTATGGGGTCCTATGGGGTTCTATGGGGTCCTCTGGGGTCCTCTGGGGTCCTGTGGGGTTCTATGGGGTCCTATGGGGTTCTATGGGGTCCTATGGGGTCCTATGGGGTCCTATGGGGTTTTATGGGGTCCTATGGGGTCAGGGGGCTTTGGGGGGATATGGGGGATATGGGGGATATGGGGGATATGGGGGGAATGGGGAGATATGGGGGATATGGAGGATATGGGGGGATATGGGGGGATATGGGGGATATGGGGGATATGGGGGGATATGGGGGATATGGGGGATATGGGGGGATATGGGGGATATGGGGGATATGGGGGATATGGGGGATATGGGGGATATGGGGGGATATGGGGGATATGGGGGATATGGGGGATATGGCGTCCTTATGGGGTTCTATGGGATCCTATGGGATCCTATGGGGCTCTATGGGGTTCTATGGGGTCAGGTGGCTTTGGGGACGTTATGGGGTCGCTATGGGGCCGCTATGGGTTCCTAGGGGTCCTATGGGGTCTTATGAAATCCTATGGGGTCCTATGGGGTTCTATGGGGTGCTATGGGGCTTCTATGGGGTCCTATGGGGTCTTACAGGATCCTTATGGGGTCCTATGGGGTTCTATGGGGTTCTATGGGATCCTATGGGGTCCTATGGGGTCCTATGGGGTTCTATGGGGTCCTATGGGGTCCTATGGGGTTCTATGGGATCCTATGGGGTCCTATGGGGTCCTATGGGGTTCTATGGGGTCCTATGGGGTCCTATGGGGTCCTATGGGGTTCTATGGGGTCCTATGGGGTCCTATTGGGTCCTATGGGGTCCTATGGGGTCCTATGGGGTTCTATGGGATCCTATGGGGTTCTATGGGGTCGTATGGGGTTCTATGGGGTTCTATGGGGTCCTATTGGGTTATATGGGATCCTATTGGGTACTATGGGGTCCTATGGGGTCCTATAGGGTCCTATGGGGTTCTATGGGGTCCTATGGGGTCCTATGGGTTCCTATGGGGTCCTATAGGGTCCTATGGGGTTCTATGGGGTCCTATGGGGTTCTATGGGATCCTATTGGGTCCTATGGGGTTTCTATGGGGTCCTATGGGGTCTTAAGGGATCCTTATGGGGTCAGGGGGCTTTGGGGGGATATGGGGGATATGGGGGATATGGGGGGATATGGGGGATATGGGGGGATATGGGGGGATTATGGGGGGATATGGGGGATATGGGGGGATATGGGGGATATGGGGGGATATGGGGGATATGGGGGATATGGGGGATATGGGGGGATATGGGGGATATGGGGGATATGGGGGATATGGGGGATATGGGGGATATGGGGGGATATGGGGGATATGGGGGATATGGGGGATATGGGGGATATGGGGGGATATGGGGGATATGGGGGATATGGGGGATATGGGGGATATGGGGGGATATGGGGGGATATGGGGGGATATGGGGGGATATGGGGGGATATGGGGGGATATGGGGGATATGGGGGATATGGGGATATGGGGGGATATGGGGGATATGGGGGATATGGGGGGATATGGGGGGGGGGATATGGGGGGATATGGGGGATATGGGGGATATGGGGGATATGGGGGATATGGGGGATATGGGGGGATATGGGGGGATATGGGGGATATGGGGGATATGGGGGGATATGGGGGATATGGGGGATATGGGGGATATGGGGGATATGGGGGGATATGGGGGATATGGGGGATATGGGGGGATATGGGGGGATATGGGGGATATGGGGGATATGGGGGATATGGGGGATATGGGGGGATATGGGGGATATGGGGGGATATGGGGGGATATGGGGGATATGGGGGATATGGGGGATATGGGGGATATGGGGGGATATGGGGGATATGGGGGATATGGGGGGATATGGGGGATATGGGGGATATGGGGGATATGGGGGATATGGGGGGATATGGGGGATATGGGGGATATGGGGGATATGGGGGATATGGGGGATATGGGGGATATGGGGGATATGGGGGATATGGGGGATATGGGGGATATGGGGGATATGGGGGGATATGGGGGATATGGGGGATATGGGGGATATGGGGGATATGGGGGGATATGGGGGGATATGGGGGATATGGGGGATATGGGGGATATGGGGGGATATGGGGGATATGGGGGATATGGGGGATATGGGGGATATGGGGGATATGGGGGATAGGGATATGGGGGATATGGGGGGATATGGGGGATATGGGGGATATGGGGGATATGGGGGATATGGGGGATATGGGGGATATGGGGGATATGGGGGATATGGGGGATATGGGGGATATGGGGGGATATGGGGGATATGGGGGATATGGGGGATATGGGGGATATGGGGATATGGGGGATATGGGGGGATATGGGGGATATGGGGGATATGGGGGGATATGGGGGATATGGGGGATATGGGGGATATGGGGGATATGGGGGATATGGGGGATATGGGGGGATATGGGGGGATATGGGGCCATTATGGGGCCCTTATGGGGTTTCTATGGGATCCTATTGGGTTTTATGGGTTCCTATGAGATCCTATGGGGTTCTATTGGGTTCTATGGGGTCCTATGGGGTTTCTATGGGGTTCTATGGAATCCTATGGGGTCCTATCGGTTTCTATGGGGTTTCTATGGGGTTCTATGGGGCTCTATGGGGTCCTATGGGGTTTCTATGGGGTTCTATGGGATCCTATGGGGTCCTATGGGGTTCTATGGGGTTTCTATGGGGTCCTATGGGGTCCTATGGGGTCCTATGGGGTTCTATGGGGTCCTATGGGATCCTATGGGGTCCTATGGGGTCCTATGGGGTTCTATGGGGTGCTATGGGGCTTCTATGGGGTCCTATGGGGTCCTATGGGATCCTATGGGGTCCTCTGGGATTTCTATGGGGTCCTATGGGGTCCTATGGGGTCCTATGGGGTCCTATGGGGTCCTCTGGGATTTCTATGGGATCCTATGGGGTTCTATGGGGCCCTATGGGGTCCTATGGGGTCCTATGGGGTTCTATGGGATCCTATGGGGTCCTATGGGGTCCTATGGGGTTTCTATGGGGTCCTATGGGGTCTTATGGGGTCCTATTGGTTCCTATGGAATCCTATGGGTTCCTATGGGTTTCTATGGGGTCCTATGGGGGTTTATGGGGTCCTTATGGGGTTTTATGGAGTCCTATTGGGTCCTATGGGATCCTATGGGGTCCTATGGTGACCTATGGGGTTTTTATGGGGTCCTATGGGGTCCTATTGGGTTTGATGGGATCCTATTGGTTTCTATGGGGTCCTATGGGGACCCATGGGGTCTCAAGGGATCCTTATGGGGTCAGGGGGCTTTGGGGGGATATGGGGGGATATGGGGGATATGGGGGATATGGGGGATATGGGGGATATGGGGGATATGGGGGGATGTGGGGGATATGGGGGATATGGGGGATATGGGGGATATGGGGGATATGGGGGATATGGGGGGATATGGGGGATATGGGGGATATGGGGGATATGGGGGATATGGGGGGATATGGGGGATATGGGGGATATGGGGGATATGGGGGATATGGGGGATATGGGGGATATGGGGGGATATGGGGGGATATGGGGGATATGGGGGATATGGGGGATATGGGGGATATGGGGGATATGGGGGATATGGGGGGATATGGGGGATATGGGGGATATGGGGGATATGGGGGATATGGGGGATATGGGGGATATGGGGGGATGTGGGGGATATGGGGGATATGGGGGATATGGGGGATATGGGGGATATGGGGGATATGGGGGGATATGGGGGATATGGGGGATATGGGGGATATGGGGGATATGGGGGGATATGGGGGATATGGGGGATATGGGGGATATGGGGGATATGGGGGATATGGGGGATATGGGGGGATATGGGGGGATATGGGGGATATGGGGATTCTATGGGGTCCTATGGGGTTTCTATGGGGTCCTATTGGGTTCTATGGGATCCTATTTTGTTCTATGGGGTTCTATGGGGTCCTATGGGATCCTATGGGGTCCTATGGGGTCCTATGGGGTTCTATTTGGTCCTATGGGGTCCTCTGGGGTCCTATGGGGTTTCTATGGGGTCCTATGGGGTCCTATGGGGTCCTATGGGATCCTATGGGGTTCTATGGGATCCTATGCGGTCCTATGGGGTTCTATGGGGTCCTATGGGATCCTATGGGGTTCTATGGGGTTCTATGGTGACGTATGGGGTCTTATGGGGTTCTATTGGGT